TATATCCCAAAGGCAAGCTTTGATGTGTCCCTCTCCATTCATCATGCTGAATCTTTTAAATCCTACTTCAAGACTCCTGCTTCTCTCTATTTAATGGTTAAGAATCTTAGGCCATTACTCACGTTTATGAATTCCAGTCATGGAGATTTGTGCTAAACATTTTAGTACTGTGGCAACATTGAAATTTGATCTTATCTTGCCTTAATAAAATACTTAAGCCCATGCACACTGAGGTAGTTGAGATGGTACTCTACATCTCTTAATGTTGTTAAAGTTTGCAGTAAGCTACTATATTTTTTACAGACAAAGTATACATTACTCATTTCTTTAAATGAAGGATTGAGTGGTCTCTACTGATTCTGACGGTCATTATTTAGAGAAAGAAGTAGCTAACATTAAATTCTGGGAGGCCTACAGACCTCACTTGTTCTAGTGAAAGTAAATAAATAAATAAATAAATTCTAAGGTCAGGTGCCCTATGTGCAAGCACTGAAACAGAAACCATTTCCCACACTTTTAATGATATGTAACACAACTTTTTCACATGGATTTATGACTGGTTTTATTTCCTAGATTTTTTTAAATAAGTCATTCTGTATGTTGCTGTCTTCATAACTGCATGTTGTAGAAATATACATTTCTACATACTTTCATACATAATTTCTAGAAATAGAAATTATAATTTATTTGGAATTATCCCAGACTCATCTTAAACTCATCAAACTTGGTGTAAACATAATACACTAAGATGTATGTATTTGAAAGAAGAATTCTGGGTGATCAAATCACTTCAAAAGGAAAAATTTCTGGTGTAAAATTGAAATGTCTTTTCAGGTCGCCCTGCAGTTTTTTATGCAATATTCTTAGAACTATTTTTTCCACACAATATACCTTGTTTTGGTTTCAAGGGACTGAAGATAGTCAAGCTGTGTCACACAGTAGGATTGGTGAAAAACAAAACATGCTTAAGAGAGTTCTTCCTCACCAACTATGTGTATAGATCCCAAGCTGCCATTGCTGTAGTACCACATGGAATAAATGCAGAGGGAATTTCTAACACTCCTGCTAGATAAGAGGTAACGGTTGCGATTTCTTTTTAAATGTGCTGTTTCTTATTAAGTGCGTTAACTAGGAAAGCTGCTAGTCTCTAAATAAATGCTATCAGCTGCTCTGTTCCTCACAGTGAGTTTAGAATTTCATAAAAATGTCATCAGAAGTCCTCAAAACTTAATATACACATGCAGTATTTCTCTTACTCTCACTTACTCATGGTTTACTTGCTCATGCTTATTTATTGCTGGTTTAATTCCACTGTATACAGATAAAGTAGACTTGTTCGTGCTTATTTGAGCATGAACTTGGTTTTCCCACGTAATTTGTAAATTTGAGCAGTGTTTACACTGCTTTCCTTGATCTTCAGAATTTTCCTGCTGTGAACAAATGGGGAGACTGGAGATGTAGTCCTGAAACTACTCCTTGACTTTTGACTGGAATGAGTTGCTTTTCATTTTTAATTTCTTTTCCTTTGTTCCCTTCAAGAGCAACCAAGAGGAACCCTGAATTGCCATCCTTTCTAGGGGAGGGAATCTTTGTCTTGGTAGTTATTCTCATTTTACGTTGAAGGTTCAGTCCTACCAATCTAAATCTGAGAATACTAAAAAGTTAACTAAGTCTAAGTGGTAGGATATCTACTGTTGCCTGGGAGATAGCAGGCTCATTTGTTGCCCTAGTGCTATGCAGACTTGCTATCTCAAGCCAGGCTAGTTCAGACCCATATGGCTTGAACTGAAGCTCAGAAAGAGAACGGACTTCTTCAGGACTGATTTTGGTATCTGATTGACACCTGATTCTGGCCTGAAGTAGTGGCAACTTTGCAGTATCTTTTTTTCCTGACTATTGGGCAATTACAACTCAGGGAGAAAAGCCCAAAGCAAAAGAATTACTGTTTCACCCTATGGTTCATCTGTACACTGCTGCAATATGGTAAGCCTGCTAGAGTTTAGAGCTAAGTTAAGCTTTATCCTTTTAAAGTCACTGGAGACCTACTACACAAATGGTGTTGAGGGAAAGTCAAACATAACTGACAAGATCTAAATCTGTGCTGAGTGGAATGTTTATAAAATCTCAGGGCAAGAGTATGAGCTTGTAAGTAATCCTAATGCCCTACCCCTTTGGGGAAAATGTTGTTCAAGTATTATTAATTTCTTTATTGTTTTCTTATATTGTATGAATTTCTTTATTGCACTAAGTGGGTTTTATAGTGTTGATTGTTAATAAAAAGATCTGGCTAGCATTGTCTTTTTGACTTAAGTAAACAACATTTGCTTTTTATACTGACTTTATGAGACTTCTGTGAGCTTTGGTGTTGCTGATATGGTGAGGATGTATGGTTATTTAAAATCAGATTGTAGACATCATGTGACAAAGTAATTTTTCTATCAACATAACCTCAGGGAAGTTTATTTTGTTCTGCAAAATTTAGGCACAGCTTGCAAAACAAGGCAAAAGTCCAATGAATGAAGATGAGATCAATTACAGTCTTTCATTTGTACCAAACAAAGAAATGAACATGAACAAAGACAGATCTTAGACTAATCTTGTCAAAAACAAGCATCCTTTGATAGAGTAACATTGTAATCATGGGCTAATTGCCAATGTGATTGGACAATAGCATAATACAATGACCTTCCTGGATTCCAGTGCCTAGGTTGTTCCATGTTAAATTTCTAAGAATCTTCATGATCTTTTATTGAGGCTCACACTTTGCCTTATCCATTTTTGTGCTATCCAAAGGTATTTGACTATCCATGGTATTTGTATTTAATACAAGAACTTTTTGTATGTGTGTGTACTTACCTATATATAAAATTTACTCTAAGGATTAAGTCCAAAATTGTTCAATCATCATGCTCAGATCAGGTGACATGCAACATTAAAATCAAATGAAAGCGTAACTACTTGGAAGGATAGCCCTGACAGTTCTCTTTACTTAATTAATTTTTAGGTTAATATGTTCATGCTTAGTATCTATTGTCTATATTTTTAAAGATGGAGAGAGGATATATAGGAATAATTTAGCTGAAAATTAGGTGAAGTTTAAGTCAGTCTGAAAGTGTGAATCTCATGCTCCCTAAAGCTCCAAGTGCTGGTTCTGTGTCTTCACATCTTGACAGGGCTTAGTAACTTCACTGGGTTATCCAGAGGAGGCTTTTCTGTGACGAGTTTCCATGACAAGTTTAATGAGATTGGCTTTGTTTGGATCTAGTATCCACCCACAGATTCATTTAAGAAAAAATAAATTATTAGACATACACTTGATTAAGGAAAGTTTCCATGTGGTGTTTGTGTGCCCCTTCTCCCTCTCATAAGCAGAGCTCCAATCCCAAAGTTCTGTGGGAGAAATTATTTTATTTAAATCTCAGTCTGGGGACTGACTCTCCACTTCATCTCAGAAAAATGTCAGTGGCTTACCTGCTACTGTGTAGGCAAGAGTGGGTTAGGGATGCTCTACTCATGCTGTTAACACTGTGACCACGTTGCAGTGAAAGTACCTGTTTTCCATCTAAACAAACAGAGGAATCACATTCTGCTAAAGGAATTTACTTTTTTATTCATCCTAAGTCACTGGATAAAATTACAACAAAGAGGCAGCGACCAATCAGTGACTCATAACTGCTCTTCTTGTTTGCTGTGTTTGTGGGAGAAGTTGGGAAGGCATTTTCTAGGATAGCACTCTTCACTGCATACCCCAGAGAGAAAGAGCCATCTCTCCTGCTTTACACACTTAAATCCTGCTTTTGCTCCCATGGCTCCTTAGGCATTTTACATTCCATATTTAAAAGATATACTTGCCTCTCCTCAATAACCCTAGAAGAAACAGAACTGATGTTTCTCACCTTCTCTTCAGTGGAGAAGTCTATCCCACTAGATACCAAATCATATTCTTGGTTAGCCCTGTGGCTCATGTATACCTGCCTGTAGAGCTTTAGTGAGACAGGTGAGGGATGCTCCTTCCCCTCTCTCTTGCTCCAGTGGCTAGGGCTTGCTCCTAGGATGTAGGGATTATGGCTTCATATTTCTCAAGTAGACACTGAGATCCTGTCTCCTCCTTCCTGAATATGAAGCTATTATGTCAAAATATACCTTCCTCTTCCAGCAATGTTTTATGAAAAAACCAAGAACTAACTGATCAGAAACCATTGTGTGTAACTTGCCCTGCCCTGCCCTGCCCTGCCCTCCCCTCCTCAGCATTTTCTTGTGGATGGTCAGACGTGCCCATGTCCCCAGTGTTTCCTTGCTGGGACACAGGTACTCGGTTCAGCATCCCTGCAGCTGGTACACTTGGCTGTGGGCATTACAGCACTAAGCACCACAAACGCTCTGTTACTTGCTCAAGCTGGGCTCAGGCTCTTAGTTCATGGTTGTGGTTTCAACTAGTTGACAAGACTCCTTAAGAAAAGGGATATTTAGCATTGCAAATCATGCAGACTTTTGTGGCTTGAACTTTAAGTTATCCTCCATTCATCACTCAGAGACAATTTTGGCAGAACTGGGTTGCTGGCTTGTGCTGTAACTGATGGAATTAAAAATTCTGAAACTGCTGAAATCCGCTTTCAAGCCCAGGGATTAATAACATGGCTGCTGTTAACTGGGAGTGCTGTTTCTGTGCCACAGTACAGCACAGACCAGCTACTCAAATACTCAATTATTCTGTCAGATCTCTGAGCACCTCTCTGCATTCTCTTCTTTGTCTCTGACTCTCTCCACTTTATTGCGTTTTCCAGTACAGATTCCTTGTGCTCAGTTCTGCTCTGGGGTAGAGACAATGTGCTACTACAGATACATTGAGAAACCCTGAATGTCCCGATTTTATGCCAAAACACAAGACATATCTGAATTTTCTGAGTGCACATCATACAAGGCAAACCTGATGTGGAAAAAGATCTGGATTTTTTATTTTTCTTTTTGGTTACACTGGTTGTTTTCTCTTGCTCTTTCAGGCTTTATTTAAAAGGTCACAGTGGAACAGCTGGGAAACAGAGTAGCCTGATCTTACATGGTGCTGAATTCAGTACAAAAGATGCTGACAATGACAACTGCATGTGTAAATGTGCTCTCATGTTGACTGGAGGTGAGTACAACTCTGAAAATATGTGGTATGTCAATAGAAATATACTCTGTTTTCCTCACGCAACTATGAATGAAGTTGCATTCATGGATATGTAAGTACCGTGTGAAAATTACATTTATTATTATTACTCCTACTCTTTTCTGTATATATATTGTGGTAGTGCCAATACCTCAAGATTCCTATCAGCAGGGAAGGGATTATTCAGAGATGCAGTCAGTGTACTTCTGCACTGAAGCTGTTGCAGCAGTGTCAAGAGTGAAAGCATGTTAGTATTATTGTCAAGGCAAGAAAGACAAAGTAAGAGAGAATAAGCTAAGAGATGCACAAGGGGAGAACTTTGTGAGAAGTGGAAGAGTCAGCCATGAAAAGAAGAGATAATGCAGGGAAATAGATAACAGAAGGTAAAGTTTAAAAACAATTAGAATCTGGACTTGCGATATGTTATCTCTTTCATTTAGGGTGTGATTCCGTTACTGAAATAATTATAATGACTCAGCTTTCTGTATTATATAAGCACAATACATATATACATGCATAGTTATAGTTAATGTAATGGCTAATTCACTCACCTGTGAAAGACTAGACATGCAACCCCCTGTTCAAATTGTGTCACTTAGCTGTTCTGGAAGATTTAATACAATATCCTTAGTGAGATGAGTCGAGCTGCAGAAGGAAAGAAACAAGAGTCAGGGTGGAAGAGAGCACAGAGAAGTTATACCGGGATAGTTTAAAGCACCAGGCCAATCTGACTACCAGCAAGTAAAGTGTATATGACTTATACTTGTTCCCTCCAGTGCAGAGGAAGAATATCTGAGATTACCTCCCTGTACAGACACCTAAAGCTCTGCACAGGAATGAGAACTTTCTCTGACAAACAATGCTTATTCTTAGTCCCTATATGGTCAAGCTTGTCTTTATCTTTAGGACACCACATTAAAGCAGAAAGCTTAAACTGGGATTCTTTGGTTCATTGACTGTATGACCAAGAAAGGCCCTTATCTTCACATCTGATTTTCTTCAGAGACTCTCCCTCAGTGATTTCTAACTTTCCTGGAAAATATCCTATAGCATATAAATTATTCAGTATTTTGGATCAAACTGTTAAACAGATATTATTTGTGGTTACTGGCACTCTGACTGAATCCAGCTCAGGCCACATTCAGGCTTATATGAGCCTCTAAAGCTATCTGCTAACAGAAAATGGGTTCCCATCACTGGGACTTATATCAAATGCACAACCTAGCTCCTCATTCTTTTTTGTAAATTGGAAATGACCCAGTTGGGAAAGTCTTTAAGGACACATTTTTTCAAACTTTCCTAACCACCTCTAGCGATATCTTATGAAAAGTCAACAAGGGAAACTTCTTCCAGTAGAAGGATGATCAGACATTACCATTTGAATCCTATTTTTAAAAAAGCTAACCAGGTAGTTCTGGAGACAGATAACAGATAAGAAGTCAATAGTTTATTTTAATTAAAACTTTTTACCTTTCCCTTTAAAGACCATGTTAAATTAAAGTGTCTTACTACCAGGGCAGACCAGAATCTAGTGAGAAGCTCCTAAATGTGAGTTGTGTCTGTGCTGAAGTACAGACTCATTCATGTATTCAACCTGTCTGGAAAATACGTGGGAGCAGAGGTTAATTCAGGGAGCTAAGGGCTTTGTTTATTTTTCTGCCCTGGCTTCTATGGTAGGTCAATGTCTCACTAAGGTCAGACTGCCTTTGAACAACCATTCCACAAGGTTCACATATATTTTGCTGCAGCAGTCCTGTAAATCAACAGGAAAAACACATATTGGAATACACTGGTAGCAAATGAAAGGAGTAAGGAGGAAGGGAGAGAATTACCAAAGGCTGAGGAAACCACAAATAGAACAAATCACTGCAGAGTAAGAAGAGATGGAGATAGCCTTTGGAAATAGATGAGTCTAGTCTTTTGGACTAGACTCTGAGTACTAGCCTTCTGGAGATAGTCTGTACATCGCTGAGTAATCTGTAGTTCTTCAAGAAGAGAAAGACTTTAATCATGTTAAAGTTCTCCTCAAACAATCGACCATGCTTTGCTCTTTGAAATTACTTTCTCATTCCTCAAGAAATATCCGAAATTGAATTAAATACCAAAACATTTGTTTAGTGAGTAGATTTCAGTTTTGTACTGCAAAGACTAATTAAGAAAAGTAGCAATGAAAAAAACCTCTCTTTTTTTTTTTTTTTTTTCCAAAAGATATCAGACTCTGTTAGTTTTGGCAACTTCACAGAGAGCTCTTTAATGATGAATGATATGAAATCTACAGGCAGGTTTCTAGCTATCTTGACAGTTTGGGTGAGCCTGTTATCTCTATGAGGTGAACTGAATATATTTATGTCAGGAATAAAGGCTGAGATAAGCTGAAGCTCAAGACTGATATGGTTATAGTCAAGGCTGAAAATAAAAATGTAAGGAAAACACACATTTCTCTCTGTGATCTTATGAGTTGTCAGATTTATTTGGTTTATATAAAAACTATTATTCTCTCTCCTCCTTTCTCTCCTCCCTCTTCCCCAGAATAAGAAATTAAATAGTGGGGGAATAATACAGTAGCATTACACAGTTTTTCTCTCTTGTCCTTTCAAGAGCCATGTTATGCTACTTGAGTCTATCTTAATGTTGATTTTAGACAATGGCTTCAAAAGTATGTGAATGATCTGGAATTTTAGTCCCTGTGAACTTTACATGGTATTTAAATGCTTAGCTGCTTTTTTGTGCTTTGGAAAATTTAAACTAAGCATGCTTGGTTTCCTTTAAAAGGAGGAAAAATATATTTATTCAAATAATGTCTTCATTTAAACTTACATTCTGGCAAAATAGTAAAAAGTTTTATATTATGAAAATACCTATTAAGAATTGGTACAATATCTCAGGTCAGTAAACTGAACAAAATCTTGTATCCCCATACCATTTCAAGCATTATTCTGAAGGGTACCCCAGCGAGCTACATACACAGCTTTTTGCAAGAAACAGCACTTAAAATGTAACAGACTGTCACCAGAATAAAGCACTGCCCAAGGCGCTTGAGATAAATTTCCAGTAGAAGTGCACTTAATGTATCTGCATCAGACCCATGGACACAAAGCCAAGGCACAGCATCCTGCCAGGATACCACCGTTCAGCTGAGACCTAGGAGCTGTTTGTGCAATTGTTTTCAGTCACTGGAGAGTGACTTATGGTAACATGTCCCATAGTGAAAGAACCTTAAGGTGATTTGCTTTATTTTGCATTGGCTACCCTCTGAGTGTTCACACTGGATTTACCTTGCTTCAGGTCATAAGTGAGAACATTGCTAAAGTTCTGATCCCTGAAATAGTTTGACAAAATGGTGGGAAGACTTTCTAGATGTTTTGCTCGTTTTGAAACAGCATAGAATTTTTTATTTTACTGGAAGCAGAGGTTCATCCACCCACAGTCTCCTGTCTCTGAAAGCAGTCAGCAGTAGATGCCTCAGTATGGGCATAAGAGCAGTTCAGATAAATGATACTTCACCTGAGTGTTTTCCCAGTATCTTTTGCATCTCAGGGGCTTCCCGATTCAGAGACAGTTCCCATGTATTTAGTAATACTCAATAGATTTTTTATCTATTGAGAGACTATATGTACAGTATCCAATTAGAAAAAAACACAGTTCCTCATATATTTTGTTGGAAACAAAAACTTTGAAACTTCAGCACACTTAAAACTCTCCAGCTTGAACCCCTAGATATACATCTACTTACATAAGAAAGCATCAGTGTTTAGGTTTTATAAATATTGTTGCTTTCATAAAGAAGTTACTTATAAAGCATCATTCATGAAATATCATATATATTGCCTAACATTTTGATAGAAAAATAAAACCACCAGGCAGTTAAGAAACAATTGGAATATTATTTTATTTATGCTAGAATATTATAAATATTGCATTAAACATATGATTACTCAGCACTGAACAATCATCATTGCATTGCTATGTTTATCAGAGTTAAGTATGGAAAATAGTCATAAAGTATTAGAAAAACACCCAGAAGTGATAACTTAAAAATTATTCTGTTAATATATTCAGAAGATTGTAACATGGTCACCAGTCTGCAAGTTTCATGTTATTTTTACCTCATAAAAAGGTCCCTATAAAAAGGACTGTGTTATCCAGTTGATATCAAAAGCTAATGCCTTTTCATCTTATATCCTGACAACTAAATTCTGATTTAACCCTCAGAATGTCAAGTATCAATTACTAAGTGATAGTCAGATCAAAACAATACTCTTAATGAAGAAAAGAACATGGCCTGGAAATGACTTCCAGAGGTCATTTAGTCCCTTTCTAAGACAGACTCTTCTCTACCTATTTATTTCTGCATTTCTATTCATTTTCAATATTTATAGTGATAGAGATTTATTCTCATAATATAATCTGTTACTGAGTTTGGCTACACTTAATATAAGAAATCTTTACTTGCTGACTAAACCAATTCTATGATAATTTCTGTTCCATCTTGTCCTAGCCTCCATCATTGGAAAGAGGAGACCATTCCTTTGCATTCCTTTGAAAAGCTTCTTTCTTACAACAAATTTAATGAATTTTAGATTGCTGGCAATCTGTCTTTTGAATTCTGAACTAAATAATCCTATATCTTTCCTCTTAGATTCACTCTTCTGGACTCTGTCCAGTGGATCCACATATAGCTTGAGGTGTTATCCAAAACTTCACCCAGTCTTCTAGCTGAGAAGTTACCAATGCAAAGTCAAACAGATCCTAAGTATTGACATCTAACTTTAAAGTACAGAATGTCAGAAACATTGAAATCTTTCATAAAGTAAATTGTTATTTATTTTGAATAACGCAGACTATTTCAATATTTTGCATTTGCTCTTGTTATTTTTGTTGACAATGCACTAAATTTTATGTACAAACCCAGAGGGCTAGAAATAAATATTGTTTTTTAATAGGATCCATTTATCTCATATACCCATACAAATACACTGTCC